GTCTGAGGGACAGTTCACAAAGATTTTTGCCCAGTTTGCGGGTTTTCTTTTCACTGTACTGGAGATTTCTTTTGACATGCAGAAATTTTTTAATAAGACATGATCCTAGTTATTGATTCTGTGTGATTTGATTCCTGTTCATGAATTCTCCACCTACCCTTATGTCTTCAAGATTTTTACCTACTTTGTCTTCCAACAGATTTAGTGTTTCTGTTTTACTATTCAGATCTTTGATCCATTTAGATTTTAGTTTAGTATATGGTGATAGGCATAGGTCTAGTTTTAGTTTTTGGCATATGGAGAGCCAGTTTTTCTAGCACCATTTATTAAAGAGACTGTCGTTTTTCCAGTGAACATGTTTGATCCCTACACACTTACTTATTTCTTTGCCTTTTTCTCCTTCAGACTTATTGCTGTCTGCCTACCAAGATCTTTAAAAATCTGGCATCTCTCTAGGGTCTTTAGATAGATCCTGTATAAAATGTCTCCTCGCCAATCAACAACTGCATTCTCCTTCAGCCTAAAGAAGTCAGTTCAGTTGGAACCCATTACTCCCTCATGGCAATTCCAGTTACTTCTTCAGAGAGGCTATTGTTATAGGCAATTGAGTTAGGTAGAACGATTATAGGCAGGCAGATAAGATTGGACCCTTAAAAGAGCCAGTGCAGATGACCACATACCTTACAATTATGGGGGGAAACAAACACCTTCTGCTTCAGGCTAGATCTTAAGACAAAAGACAAATCAAATGCAACCACACTCTAAGGGTAAACATAGGGGATTGATATTGTAAATAGGCATCAAATCACCTTGTGAAAACCAGAAGGAGTCACTAAACTAATCCCATACAGGCAAAGACATTGTTCTGTATTCATGCCTGCTTGCATGGCTCATATCCCCTTATGATCCCATTTTTTTACTTTAAAGAAAGTAAAATTAAATACAAACAGAACCAAACAACATAAGAAAGCAATGTAAGAGATAAAGTTTCAATGAGAGACAACCAGAGATCTTCACTATCTATCATGTTGTCTCTTATTTTCTTCCAAATAGTTGTCCATATCTTCACATACAGTGAATTCATACAAAACAACATAGTATAAAACTGATCTGAACAGGATGATGAAGGCATTTTAGGTCTTCAAGACCAGACAATAAGGAAGTCAACAATAGCTGTCATCATATCTCTCATTCTCTTCAAAATAGCTGTCCATACCTTCACATATACTGAAATTAAACAAAACAAAATAGATTAAAATCACTCTGAACAAAGAATTATAATATTGCTGGATTTCACATCATGATACTATGGACTCAGCACTGGGTACTATAGTGTTTCTTTTTCTTCAAAGTAGTTGTTCATTTTATCGTGCATTATATAATTGTGATAACTCAGACCCCGGTATGAAATTCAAGGAAGCAAGAAATTAAAATTTGGGAAGCAAAGGCTTTATTTCCAGGCCTGGTAACACAATCTCTCTAGAGTCAACCCAAAGACTGCACACCTCACAGCTAAAAGTCAGGACTTTTTATCTTGTAAATCCACAAACAGCTGCTGGTCACACAATGTAAGGAGGGGGATGGGGGTGTGACACACTACAAAGCAGAAACGGCAATTGCAAGTCTCCCTGCATACTAGCAAGTTTAGATAAGAAGAAATCTTGTTTTTCTTAGCAAAGAATAGAGAAGTCTAACAGCAATTAACAACCTTAGTTACCTTACTTTAGCAACACAACTGTTATTTGTAGAGGGCAACAATGGTTAACATATCAATTAGGTAAAATTTTACAATTCTTTACAGAGGAGAGCATTGATTAACATATCAATCCTTTACTCAGAGGCCAAAGGAAAACACATATACCGTAAGGCCAAGTTATAGGTATTGCTATGATATAAATATAATGAAGCTATTTTGTGAAGAATAGTACAATCTAATACAATGTAATGCAATTAACACAATTTGTGACGGGCTACCAGGTAAGGAAGGGGTTGTCAGGAGCTATTACCTCAGGCCTTTGTTTTATGGCCTTTTAGTTAGATTTGAAGGGGGGAGAGGAGGGAAAGCAGCAGGTGGGCTTATACAGAACAGGCTTCACAGCGCGAAAGTTAGGGGGCCTTAGGTTATTACAATAATCAGTTCTCACAAACTGTTTAGAAGTTCTATGCATGCATGAGTCTCTACATGTATATCTATCCTTTTTGTATTAGAGGGAAAAACAAACAAAGCAAGATAAAATAAAACAAATTCCTAGAAAAACCTGAAATGAAAGAGTCATATAAAACCACAATACAAGGTGATCTACAATGGTTACTATGATGTCTTTTGTTATCTTCAATATAATTGTCTATATCATCAGGTATAGTATAACTGAATATATCAGTACATAACACTATTAATAAAAATGAAACATTGGAGAAATTATTACTTCAAAAGCAAGTAATAATCAAACCAGAGTGGGTATCCTAGTGAATATTGTCATCTTCGGTGTAGCTGCCTATACTCTCAGATTTGATATTGTCCATCATACCAGATTCTAATAAAATCAGTAAATACAAAACAGCCATCTAACAATTCAGATTCAAATAAGATCAGTCATAATAAGACAATGTAAGGTATACAGGGCTTCAGATTAAGTTAATAGGAAATTAGGGATAATTACCATATATCCTGCTATTTTGGGGATAGCTGTCTGTACCCTCAAATCTAGTACAACTAGACAAACTGGAACAGAATATAACCCATCTAAACAGAGTGGTGAGAGTAATGTGGATTTCAAATCTTGATACACTATTAACAATATCCTCTGCCTTCATATTTTAGACAGTTCCTCCCCTTTCAATCCCACAGCGTGCACTGCACATTTTGGATCCCAACAACTCTCTCAGTTTTTAGATTGGAGGGGCAGCCTGCTACGTACCCTATTGTTCCAAACCTTCTCACTCCTGAACTTGGTTTCAAGTTGTATTCCTTTATCTACAAAAGCCTCAAGGACTTTCTTCATTATAGTTGAGTAGTTCAATACTGCACAAAAGTATCCTGTCTTTCCAACTGATCTGCCGGTGCTGGTTGAGTTGCCCCTATTTCTCTCTGGTTCCCTGTCAGACAGAGCATTGTTTTCTTATATTTGATTTCAGTCCATAAACCCTCTTACTGATTAATTATATTTTCTATACAGAGCATCTCAATGGACCCTACTTCCTGATCTACTCTGCCTGTTTCCTTTTGTTAGTGTATCAAGGCCATCTGTGTCAGAGATTGATCCAACATTCTCTGCCTCGTTTCTGCTATGCTATTTTTCTGCCATTGGTTGTCTACTTTTCTCCTTCATTCCACTCTTTGCCCCATTCACTGAGGCCTCTCTGTCACTGCTCCTGAAATCCTAGTATTTTTTTCTCTCTCTCTCAAAATGTCCTTCAGTATTTTTGGTAGGGTTAGATTGGTGGTCACAAATTCCTTCAGTTCTTCTTGTCACGGAAGGATCTTGTTTCTCCATTAATTTTTAGAGACAGTTTTACAGGATACATCTATCTCAGCTGGAGATTATTTTCTTTCAGGGCTTAGAATACTTAACTCTAAGCTCTTCTTGATTTGATGGTTTGTGTCGAAAAGTCTGCCATGACTTTGATGGGTTTTACTTTATAGGTGATCTGTTTCTTTTCTCTGACAGCTTTTAGTATTCTGTTCTTGTTATTAATTTCTGATATTTTGATTATTATATGTCTGGGTGTAGATCTGTTTTGGTTATAAACAGCTGGAGTTCTGTATGCCTCATACATATGAATATCATTTCCTTTTCCTATGCTTGGGAAGTTTTCCTTAGTTATTTCTGTGAATAGACTTTGTATTTACCCCTGATTTTTCACTCACATTTTTTATTCTTAATTTATAGACCCTCTTGTCATCTTCTAGTCTTTTATTGTTACTGTTTTCTTGTTATTTTTAAGAGATCTTTCCTGTCATGATCAGACATTGCAAACCTATCTTCAAGTTTTGTTAATCTATGTCTAGTTTCTGTCAGGCAATTTTTCTAAGTTTGATGGAGTTTTTAATTTCCTGATAATCTCTTTGAATGTGTTTCATGTATTCTAGGTTTTCTTTATATTCTTCATGGAACATTTCTCTCCTTCTTTGTGTTCCTCCATTCTTCTGTCTGTGTCTTCTTGAGAGGTGCTTATTATTTCTTTTCTTCTTCTTATATCTTGCTTTACTTGAACTAATATTTCAGTTTTGAGCCCATCTATGATGCAAATATATTCTGCTCTTAAAAAAGTACAAGGTGATTCTTAGTTCACAGGCCATATGAGGATACACAGGAGGGGTAGGGATGGAGCTGTCAGAGACCAGTGTTCAAGACGTTGAATCTTACTTGCAAGCAAGTGCATTCTTACCTGCACCACTCAGTGACAGGTAGATCACCACAGTCTAGAAATAAAAGAGTCTTGTAAACTTGTGCTGATTAAGTTTCCTGTATTTTACCTCCCAAAGACATTTGCATTCTAATAATATCCTTCTCCCTCCTGAAGTAAACTTCCTGCCCTGGGATTTCAGGCTAACAGAAGGAGGTGATCAGTGACATACAGAAGACATTCGGGGACTCCCCCAAGACTCACTGGTGAGGGTAACAAGACAAAGCATGAACTTTTGTCTCTAGCTCATTCAGTCTTTCCACATGATGCAGCACAGTAATAGCAGAGACGACATGAAGATGCTGTCTTTAGACAGCAGAAAAGTGTTAAGGGAATTCCATTCTGGTTGATCCCTCCAAAATTCTATAACACACTGCAGACAAGGCAGAAAGACATAGAAGACTCCGATCTGAATCTATTCCAAAACAGTGATAACAATTACAGGGCTTGATAAGCTGACATGGAATTAAGTAGCATCAGTGAAAACACAACAGTCATGAAGAGGATCACTTTTGCTCTATTGCTTGACAGTAGACTAAAGTCAGGTAGCATTTTTGTCATTCTATGCAATTTGGTCTTACATGCTGTCATTTCTATTTCACACTGAAGTTCACACACTTGCCCCACAACTTCCTCATGGCAATTTTCACCTCTGCATTTCTGAGTGTGTAAATAATAGGGTTCAGCATGGGGGTGATGACCGTGTAAAACACAGCCACCAGTTTGTCCTCAGTGTAGGTGGAGGAGGGACGCAAGTAGAGGAAGATAGCAGGCCCAAAAAACAAGATGACCACAATGATGTGAGAGGCACAGGTGGAGAGGGCTTTGTGCCTCTCTTTTGCAGAATGATTCCTCAAACTGACCAGGATGCCAACATAAGAGCACACCAAGAAGAGAAAGGAGAATACAGAGAATAATCCACTGTTGACAAACATAATAATTCCTACCATAAAAGTGTCAGTGCATGCAGTCTTGAATAAAGGATGAAGGTCACAGAAGTAATGGTCAATCACATTGGGACCACAGAAAGGCAAAGGGATGGTGATAAAAATCTGAATTATGGAATGAAAAAAGCCCCCCATCCAGGAACCAGCCACTAAGCGGTAACACACAGGTCGGCTCATGATGATTGTGTAGTACAGAGGTTTGCAAATGGCCACATAGCGGTCATAGGCCATAACTGTGAGCAGAAGGATCTCGGAGACCCCAAAGAAGTGGAAGAAGAATATCTGAGACAGACAACCCTTGAAAGAGATGGTTTTAATCTCGGCAAGTAGATCTGCGATGAATTTGGGGACCACTGTGGAGGAGTAACAGATCTCCACCAGGGACAGGTAGCCCAGGAAGAAGTACATGGGGGAGCGCAGGTTCTCACTGACACTGACGGTCAACACAATGAGGCCATTGCCTACCAGCGTGGCCAGGTACACGGGAAGGAAGAGCACAAAGCACGCTCTCTGCACCTGTACATCCTGGAAGAGCCCAGTGATGATGAACTCGGTCATGTTAGATGTGATGGCCATGGCTCAGCTCAGGAGTGCTGCACAGCAGGAGTTGAGAGTCTGCAAAACAAGAAAGAGTATAATACTAGTTCACTATGCAGAGGCTAAGCCAGTTTACAACATGCTTGCACCTTACAGCATGCACCTTCATTTAGCCAAGATATACTCACATAGCATTGAATAGTAGCAATGTAACACTTTATGTTATTTTAATGAATGAAAATTGTAATTTTATTAGAAAAAGATGCCTTAGAGACATTATTATTTGGGCAAGATCACAGAGAACTGGTGAAATTTAGGACCTAGGACCAGTGCATCTGAGCTTCTATTCAAAGTATCAATTCACAATATATTCAGAATTTTGTTAGTCCTAACAGTGAATAACTTATGTTTGTATTATTTATATTGTATTTTGATCATTCTCTCCTGCTGAGAAATCCCCTTGCTCCTGTATCCTTGGTCTCATTCATCTGCACCTCTGGGATTCATCTCCCCACTGATAATTCTCCATCCCTAGGTGTGCTCTGCTGTCTTTTTCCTACAGTTGCACCAGTCTTCCAGATTCTTACAACACTCGCCCCCATCTTGAGCATTAGTGAGTTGTTTCTGTATGAATGCTCGCATTCTGGCTGCTTAGCTTTTCTCCATCACTCCCCATGATTTACACACTTTCTACCTCCCAAATTACTGAGAGACCCTGAACTTCTAGAGCTGGCCATGGAGCCCACTGTCATGGCGAGCCAGTTGCCTGCTGCAGAATCAGGTTGGCAGCCAGCTGTGAAGAATATGATGACAAGAGCAAGAATCTGCATTCACCTCTCTGAAACAAATACTTCCTGAGACCCTGTACATGTCTGAATGTCCATCTTATCACACAGAAGGAGCACAGACACCACCACCACCACCCCCCATGCTCACGGTATCATGTGATTCAAAACAACACACTCTGGGTGAAGTTGCCCATGGCCATGTATGACCCATAGCAAATAAAGAGGAAAGATGTCAACAATTTGACTCCCTGCTATAAAATTTACCCCATTATTGCCCCATATATCTGAGTTTGTTTGAAAATTTCTCAGAAGCATATTTTTACTAATTTGTTTTAATTGACAAATAATAATGTTACATTTTAATCGAAGTATACATTGTAGAAATATTTGATCCAATTAACACTTTCCCAACCTATCATATAGATGAGATTAATTCACAATATATTCATGAGTTTAAATATGATACTGAGCCCCATATAGGTACAATTCACACAGGTTAATGAGTAATAACATACATATATATTTTAAACTAGCAACAATGAGAAAGTTGAAATGTAATTACATCACAGAAAACAAAATTGAAAAAGTTATGTGAATGATGTCAGATATTTTAAAATACAAACATTTCAAATGTGAAGTGCTTATGGATACAAAGCCATAAATCACCACTAAGGAGCATGAAACATATTAGTAGAAAAATATCCATATAACTACAAAACCAGAAAAACTATAAGTTTTTCAATAGTAAAATTCAACATAATGATTTGCTTCTCCATAAATTTAAATTCTCTCTAATTTACAAAAAAATGTATCTTCAATTAAAATCTAATGGAATTATATCTATAATTTCACAGTTATGCTAAATTACCCCTACATGAAAAATAATCTGAAACAGATATAAATATACAAATAGAGAATCTTAATGGGTTTAATTTTCCTTCAAATATGAATATTTTAAGTGGTTGTTCTCTAAGCAGTTTGATATTGGCTAAAGAATAATTATATAAATTTTTAAAAGATTGATATAACTACATATGAGATTTTATAAAATAAAAAGTAGAAGTAAAGCATACTGTTCAAAAGATGATGCTGGAATAACTGGCACATAGTTAAGGAAAGAAACTAAATTTGATGCCAAATCTCTCATTCCCACCACAACAAATTGTGAATTTAAAAATTACAAATGATAATTAAAATCATTGAAAACATGAAGTAGAATTAGTGATCAAATACAGAGATGGAAAAACCTTAGGTGTCTGGCATAATGTTAGAATTTGGTTACAAAACAGATAAAACTAGAAACAATAACCAAACATTTTAATAATACACAAAGCCATTACCCAAATGATAAAATAGAAAAATATTAAAATACATACATGTAAAGACTTAATAACTCAATATTTGAATGATACTTTAAATCTGTAAGAAACAAAGTTCAACCCACAAGAAAATAACAAGGGTTTTAAATGGGCAAGTTGTAAAAAAATAAGTAAAATTATCAACATTTGTTTTGTTAAATAACAATGAATAGTATGAAAAATCAAAAAATGTATCCTATAAAAACAGGAAATATCACTTTTAACTCTAATTAAAATGTGGTCTTTGGAGACTAAATGGTTAGGAGTTTAATTCTGACACTGTCTCATTCTGTTGTAGAATAAAAATCGTAAGAAGCACACTGGCTGCAAAGTGAAAGGAAATAGTGCTCACCCATGGCCTCCTATATCACATTGTGAGGCCATGCTGGGCTCGTACACCAGCACTACAGGCTCTGATGTCTTGAGCATAATCAGTACACACAGGCTTTGGGTGAATCTTTTCCCAAGTTCAGTGAGGCCATGTTCATAGTTTGAAATCACCCAGGGTGGGAGAATTTTCATACCGGAAATCAGGAAATGGTACAAGTCAGAGCTCTTTAATAAGGAGACCCACTGGTTCCACACTGTCCCGTGCACCCAGGAGTGGAGACTGCAGGAATCAGTGCTTCCTCCCCTGCTTACCATGTCTCCCAACTCCATGAGGAGGGAGCTACAAAAACAGCTCTGCAGCACATGGAAAGAACCAAACACACACAGATCCTCCCCTCACCTCCTCCTCTTAGCTGAGATGCTGTAGTGGGAGCACTTTCTTTTCTGCCCCAGAGCCACCCCTGTCTGAGTGGAGCAGAGATAGGGTCCTCTGTGAGATGGGTCAAATAGCTTAACTCTAGGTTTTAGAAAGGTCAGTGACCACTGTACATCATCCCCTCTCTCAGTAATGATGGCAAATCCCAAACTCACCTTCCTTATTTCAAAATTAGCTTAATTTTCTTATCAAAAGAAGCACATTAAACTTCACAAACACATCAACATGATGTCTCTGGCCATGAGGCTAAAGCAGAAAAAAAGGAAAACAACCTAAACATATCTCAAATCTGGGGAAGAATTTTCTGTCTACCCACACTCTAGTCACAGCCATTAAATGTTTTGAAAGGCAAATAGGCTACAGGATGAAGAGGAATGGCCCAGTAGAGGAAAACAGGTCAGTCATTCAAGGAAGCAGAAAGAAACTGGTTCACCAGGAGCTAATGGGCTCAGAAATAACAGATTCAGGAGAAGAATTACATTGAAATCCAAGGCCAGGACAAGCAGCATTGCTAAATTCATCTCTGTGTATTTCTCGTGTAGAGCATTGGCTGAACCAGAGCCCCCAGAAGCAGCTCACAGTGGGAAATCAAGAGGGTTAATTGGTGTGAGCCCCCCTAAATCCTTGTCAGCACATCCTGGCTCAGAAATCTAGGGAAAGAGCTTGGCAGGGGTGAGGGTGGCAGCTGCTGGAGGCACATGATGAAGACAGTGGAACTGCAAGCCAAGTGAGCAAGACGGGCTGCTTGGTCTGACACCCTCCAGCCTGCCCAGGCTTTGAGCTCCAAGCTCAGCTGTAATTTGTGCCTTTTTTTCATTTCCCTACCTGGCATCCTGTCTCTCCTGAAGCCCCCTCCCCTGTGCTCTGTGCTCTCTATTGCATTATTCTCCCTGCTCATTCACAGCAGCCGCAGCCTCAATCACCATCCTCTTGGTCTCCAGGCCCACTCCATTCACCCTGCACACTGTGCCCAGGACATACATCCCTGTCACCTGCTTCCTCAGATCACGGTGCTGCTTGGAATATCCAGGGCAACCCCGAATTCATTCATCTCCTTGGTCATATTTCAATAGTCTGAGCCACCTCCACAATTCTTCACCAAGTTTCAACTCATTTCTGGTCAAGTCAAAATCCTGTCCCAATCCCACAAATCCACCCAGGCTATTCTCTCAGAGTTGCTCTCTTTCCTCCTTCTAATCCCCTTGTTCTCAAGCCCAGTTCCTGCCCTGCACGCCAAGTGAGGCTGCCTCCCCTACCCACCCTACATCAGTGCAGAGGAATTAAAATGACCTTTTGTTAAAATTAGAAGATATATTTACTTGACAAGCCAAACACATACTACTTACCTGACCTTGACTTCAACCTACTTTCAAAATAGATGTACAAAATAGGTGCTGATGAATGTACTATAAACCACCTGAGACATTCAGGAGAAAGAGGAGAATCATGTATAGTTCTGCTCTCACAAGCTTCCTACCCAACAAGAGGAATTCCTGACTGCCTACTTGGGGAAATATATTTTTGTCTTCTGACAACTCTGTCTCTTGTATCTATTCCTTGTCTGCTACCCCCACTCACAGCGTTAAGAAATATCTCAAACACACACACACACACACACACACACACACACACAACAAAGACTGAGACACAAACAGAGACAGAGACAGAGACAGAGACAGAGACAGAGACAGAGGCAGAGACAGAGAAACTCCTCATTTAGATCCATGAAAATAAAAGGGGACCAGTACTGAAAAGCACAGCCAATGTGTAAACATCTGGAGTGAATGGCAAATAAGTTGCATGGATTTGCATCAGAACATAATGGTACAACCCAGACAATGGCTAGAGGAAAACATAGAACAGAGTTTTATCTGCTGATTATGACTTCAGATGGAAGGAACAGAAGGTCTATTCCAGCATCAAGCTCAAAACTGATAATTCCCACATTGTACCTTGCAGAGTCTCAGAAGTATAAAGCATTTTAAATTTTTATTCTATGTGTGTTTTACCACAAAACATAGCTATTTAAAACACTGCCCTCCTTTAAAAACTTATCTAAAGCAATCACTTATTTTAGAAATGAACACTTCTGGCTTCAAGAAAAACTGTTGCTTAGCACCCTGTGGC